AGGTAGCAGAGATCCAAAGAGTGAGCAGCAGCAAGATTTATTGCAAAGACCAAAAGAACAAAGCTTCCACAGTGTGGAAGGGGACCCAGCAGATTGTAGCTGCTAGCTCAGGTGGACCGCTTTTATTCCCTTATCTGGCCCCACTCACATCCTGCTGATTAGTCTATTTTACAGAGAGTTGATTGGTCCATTTTACAGAGAGTTGTTTGGTCCATTTTACAGAGAGCTTATAGGTCCGTTTTGACAGAGTGCTGATAGGTGCATTTACAGTCCTTTAGCTAAGACAGAAAAGTTGTCCAAGTCTCCACCAGATTAGCTATACACAGAGTGCTGATTGGTGCATTTACAATCCTTTGGCTAGACAGAAAAGTTCTCCAAGTCCCCACCCATCCCAGAAGCCCAGCTGATTTCACCTGTCACTGGCAGGCCTGGCGGGACTTTGCGGCACCTAGCCCAGGCAATCTGGCAGCCCAGAGGGAGCTCGTCCCAGACAATCAAGAGGAAAAGAGGGGAAGCAAGAGAGAGACGGAGACCTGCTATCGTGGCTAAAGATCCTGTGAAGAGGGAATGGCGGTCCTCGCACGGGATTCAGCCTCCAATCAAGCCCAGCAGTCTCCAGCCGGCTGCACCAAGTGTGGGGCTTGCCAAGCCCCCGCTCACCTGGAACAGTCACCGACCGGTGAGTGCCATGCAGCCCCGCCTCCCACCTGCGCCTCTCTCTTCACACTTCCCTGCAAGCAGAGAGAGCCGGCTCTGACCTTGGCCAGCCCCAGAGAGGGGCCCTCATAGCCCAACAGCAGACTGAAGGGCTGGAGCACGGCCAGAGTGGTGCCAAGAGCAAGAGAGGGCTGCTAGCACGCTGTCACCTCTCAATATTGTACGGCAGATACATTTCATAGCAAAAACTTAACTTAAGCGTACCCTAAGAATGACCCTAAAGCTTAAGAAGAATGTGTGTTTGGAGACCTGTGCTAAAGAATCCAGGAGTGGCCAATGCAGAGATTAGTCTCTTATGTATGAGGAACATCTGAGCCCCTAGTCCATCCTGTGGAAGGCAGTCCATGCAGGAGATTGAGGCCCTTTGTTTTGGGTTAAATGAAGGTTGCCAAGTGGAGGTTGCTAGCAGAAGGGTGATAAGTGAAAATGTCATATAAACTGCATGCTTTTTACAACTGGTTGCAGTCCTCTTCTCCAGCCTACTATCACTGGACTGCCCCATATGTAAGTCCCCTCAATAAACTCTGTGTCTCATTCACTGGCTTCAGGTCTCTTATTCAGCCTCTCAAACATGGTGCCCTCCCTACCGAAGTGAATGACATCAGGCTTGACACATATTAGATGTTCCTATAATCTAATCATAACTATGATTTAAACTACAGACTAGTATATATTATTTTTCTTCTCTTTCATGTTTTGCCTGTGTCAAAATAAGTTAATCATCTCTTTGCTCCTCCTCTGCAATCCCACTACCACTACATTTATTATGGCACGCTTTATTAGTCTCTTCATGAAGCTTAGACCCTCCCCTATCCCCCAAAACTCTGCTTTTCAGTATTATATTTCTAAAGTAAGAAATGTGAGCCTTGTTTTATCACCCTGCTTAAAATCTTGAAATAGAAGAAAGACTCAGATCCAAATTTCTCATCTTCTTATATAAACTCATCCATTATCTGACTCAACAAAGATTATCAGCCTTGTCTATTACACACAATGTATTTCTTTCTTGGTCTTGTCCAAACATTGCCCTTGCTTTTTCATGCTTATATGATTTGGGAGCTCTTCATGTATAATGCTTATATCATCTTGAATGCTAGATATATTTCACATTTTTTAAGACCTAAGTTCAATTATTCCTAACAAAAGTGCACTCAATATATAATTATTGACTGGGTGTGGTAGTTCATGCCTGTAATCCCAGCTCTTTGGGAGGCCGAGGTGGCTGAATCACTTGAGTTCAGGAGTTTAAGATTAGCCTGGCTAACATGACAAAACCCCATCTCTACTAAAAATACAAAAAAATATATATATATATCAGCTGGGTGTGGTGGTGCATACCTGCAATTCTACTTGGGAAGCTGAGGCATGAGAATCACTTGATTCTTGGGAGAATCACAGCTACTTGGGAGGCTGAGACATGAGAATCACTTGAATTCAGGAGGTGGAGTATATTAGGCTGTTTTTACACTGCTAATAAAGACATACCTGAGACTGGGTAATTTATAAAAAATAAGAGGTTTAACAGATTCACTCAAGGTTCCACATGACTGAGGAGGCCTCACAATTATGACAGAAGGCAAAGGAGGAGCAAAGTCACATCTTACATAGCAGCCGGGAAGAGAGCATGTCCAGGAGAACTCCCCCTTATGAAACCATCAGATATCATGAGACTTATTCACTATCAGGAGCACAGCACATGAAAGACCTGCCCCCATGATTCAATAGCCTCCCACTGGGTCCTTCCTATAACACATGGGAATTATGAGAGCTACAATTCAAGATGAGACTTGGGTGGGCGACACAGCCAAATCATATCATTCCGCCCTGGCCCCTCCAAAATCTCATGTCCTCACATTTCAAAACACAGTCATGCCTTCCCAACAGTCCCCCAAAGTCTTAACTCATTCCAGCATTAACACAAAATCCCAACTCCAAAGTCTCATATGAGACAACTCAAGTCCCTTCCACCTATGAACCTGTAAAAATCAAAAGCAAGTTAGTTACTTTCTAGATACAATGGGAGTACAGGCATTGGGTAAATACTCCTGTTCCAAATTGGAGAAATTGGCAAAAACCAAAGGGCTATAGGCCCTCTGCAAGTCTAGAATCCAATGGGGCAGTCATTAAACCTTAAGTTTCCAAAATGATCTCCTTTGACTAACCATGTCTCACGTCCTGGTCATATTGATGCAAGAAGTGGGCTCCCACAGCCTTGGGCAGCTCCACTTCTGTGGCTTTGCAGGGTACAACCTCCGTCCTGGCTGCTTTCATAGGCTGGCAATGAGTGTCTGTGGCTTTTCCAGATGCACCGTGCAATCTGTCAGTGGGTCTGCCATTCTGGGGTCTGGAGGATGGTGGCCCTCTTCTCGCAGATCCACTAGGCAGTGCCTCAGTGGGGACCCTGTGTGGGGGCTGCAACCCCACATTTTTCTTCTCCTCTGCCCTAGCAGAGAGTCTCCATGAGGGCTCCGCCCCTGCAGCACACTTCTGCCTGGACATCCAGGTGTTTCCATACCTGGACATCCAAGTGTTTCAGAGGATCTCTGAAAGCTAGATGGAGGTTCCCAAACCTCAGTTCTTGACTTCTATGCACCCACAGGCTCAATACCATGTGGAAGCTGCCAAGGCTTGGGACTTGCACCCTCTGAAGCCACAGCCTAAGCTGTACCCTAGCCCCTTTTAGCCAAGGCTGGAGCTGCTGGTAGGCAAGGTGCCAAGTCCCTTGGCTGCACACAGCAGGGGGGCCTGGGGCCCAGCCCAGGAAACCGTTTGTTCCTCCTAGGCCTCTGGGCCTGTGATGGCAGGGGCTGCTATGAAGATCTCTGACATGCCCTGGAGGCATCTTCCTCATTGTCTTGGTGATTAACATTTCAGCTCCTCGGTACTTATGCAAATTTCTGCAGACAGCTTCAATTTCTTCCCAGAAAATGGAGTTTTCTTTTCTATCACATCATTGGGAAGCAAATTTTCCAAACTTTTATGTTCTGTTTCCTCTTGAATGCTTCACTGCTTAGAAATTTCTTCCTCTAGATTCGCTAAATCATCTCTTTCAAGTTCAATGTTCCACAGATCTCTAGGGCAGGGGCAAAATGCCACCAGTCTCTTTACTGGAGTAAAGAATGACCTTTATTCCAGTTCCCAACAAGTTCCTCATCTCCATCTGAGACCGCTTCAGCCTGGATTTTATCATCCATAGCACTATCAGCATTTTGGTCAAAGACATTCAACAAATCTCTAGGAAGTTCCAAACTTTCCCACATCTTCCTTTCTTCTTCTGAGTCTTCCAAACTGTTCCAACCTCTGCTTGCTACCCAGTTCCAAAGTAACTTCCACATTTTGGGGTATCTTTACAGCAGTGCCCCACTACCTGGTACCAATTTACTGTTTTAGTCTGTTCTCACTCTACTAACAAAGACATACCTGAGAGTGGGTAATTTATAAAGAATACCAGGTTTAATGGACTCACAGTTCCATATGGCTGGGGAGACATCATAATCATGACAGAAGGCAAAGGAGCAAAGTCATGTCTTACATGGTGGCAGGGAAGAGAGCTTGTGTAGGGGAACTACCCCTTACAAAGTCATCAGATCTCATGAGACTTATTCACTATCACAAGATCAGCACACAAAAGACCCACTCCCATGATTCTATAACCTCCTACCAGGTCCCTCCCAAAACATGTGGGAATTATGGGAGCTACAATCTAAGATGATATTTGGGTGGGGACACAGCCAAGCCATATCACAGAGCTTGCAATGAGCTGAGATCATGCCACTGCACTCCAACAGAGGGAGACTCTGTCTCAAAAAAAATATTTTTTAATAAAAAGAAAAATATATACATATATAATTATTGAACATTTATTGTGTGGAAGATGTTGGTTCTACTCGGCAGAATTGGTCTTTCTACACCCTAAGAAATTTAGTATTACTTCCATTATTAGACATTGAACCCTAAATACACCTATGACATCATGAATTCTCTGAGTGCTTTGTAAATAGGAATCAAATTAGCTTTTCTGGCAATCACATTACCTTGTTCATTCTCATCAAATAGTTCTAACATGGAGCCATAAGGTTATCATTCCTCCCAACACACGCAAAGGTAACTGTTAAGTAAAAATTCCCCATTTGTGTCTGCTCAATGAATATTTAGACTTGATTTCAGGCACTTATATTGACTTTTATTAAACTTAATTTTGTTTGATTCAGCAAGTCATTTTAATTGGATAAGATCAATTTAAATGTTGATATTTTAAAAATAAACTTATTTGTTATTCTCAGATTCATTTGATCTGCCAGTATGCAAACATCTTTTTATCCAGATGCTGCAAATCATTGAACAGAGCAAGAGTTAGTAAGATATTATCACCAAATTGTCACATCAGTCAGGCCTCATGTGCTTCCTAAGAACTGAGGTGATGCATTACTTTAGATAGAGTGTCATCCTAAACCCCAGATTCAACATCTTCCTAATCTTTCTAGTGCAGTCTAATATATAAATTTTACGAAAAACATAGGTTTTTTTTAACCTGCAGTGCTCTTTGAGAATGTATATTGATTCCTAAAGATTGGCATTGGTTTTCATAAAATGTTATAAACTATTATCTTAGCATCTTACCAGGAATTTCCACTAAATTCACCAATTTATGATTTGTGAAATCTAATTCTTTTACTTTTTGAAAATTTTCATATGAATTTCCCATTTTCAGTGTTGTAGCACCTCTCTCTTCCTCTAAGATCCTCCAAACTCACCAAAAGCCATGATCTTATTGCACCAGCAGTTTTATTTATTCAATCCTTCAACAAGTAGTTATTGAACTTCTATAATGTGCCAGGCTCTGGGCTTGGCACTGGAGCTTGCCTTATGCCAAACAGATATAATCGATCCATTCAAAGTGTCCTAATTACACATTGAGGGACCAACTATATCTTTTCTCATTGTAACCTTGGAGCAAAAGCAAATTCATTAAAATAACTTTACATTATAGTACCACAAAAAAAAAATGAACAGAACCAGAAAGCATTTTTTACAAAAATTAACGGAACAGCGTCATAGAGGGGAAAAGGATGTGAGATCATGGTGCCCTACCTTCAATAGGGTGGCCAGAAAACACCTCTCTGAAGAAGCAGCATCTGACCTAAGACCTAAAGAACAAGGAGTCAGTGATGCAGAGAACCTTAGGAGATGGCTTCCAATCTGAGAAAACAGTAAGCACAAAGGCCACGAGATGGGAAAGAGGTGAACAATATTCAGGAAACTGAGAGAAGCCCTCTGTGGTTGAGCCCAGTAAGCTGAGGAGAGAGGCTTGAGACTGGACAGGTGGGAGGTAGGAGGTAGCTGCATTATTCAGAGCCTTGTAGGTCAAGGCAAGAAGTTGAGGTTTTATTCACTAGGAAACCATGAGAGGGTGTTAGGTTTTAATAGCAGTGGGAATGGCTAATCACCTCAATACTACCTCTTTAGTATAAAATACTAGCAAATACTAGGAACTGCATGTATCTTTAAAAACCAGAATTGTTGGCAAAGAATAAGGGTACTGCACTCTTCCTCTGCTTGAGCAGAAATTAAATTTAATATCATTCCTCCCAGCTTTTGCCATCTTAATCCTTTGAGAATACAAAGATACTAATGTAGAGCAAAATATGTGCTTGTTCAGCTCACTGACACATAATAACCTGACATTAGTCAATATGTTGGAAAAGGAAATTTAATCACAAAAGACATTTTTGCTTCCAGATTATGTAGAAGTGACTTCATTAAATTTGCTTTCAGAGTGTTTTACTGAAAAGCTGATGTCTCTTTAAATGATTACATTAAAGAGCTCTAATGAAGATTTACATGAGCTGAAATATCAGCACTAATGGTGCTTGATTCTGTCTTAGTCATTTTGGTGATGAAAAATAAAAGAAGACTGGGTATCTCCAGTTAATGCAATCCTTTTAGAGCTCTTTAATTGAACATGTCTTTAAGGGACAAAGTGTCCTGGGGAATAAAAAACAGTTCAAGCAATTTCCTTGAGTTGCAGGCATTGGTACAGAGCAAATATGTTCAGAAAAAAGAGGAGTCAGTAGCCGGAGTCGAGGTGTCACTGAGACCCCTGAGCCCATACCCAGCGTTATTCTCCTCACCACTCCCCTTTCTTCTCTTTTCTTCTTCTTCTTTTCTTTTTTTTTTTCTTTTAGACAGAGTCTTGCTTTGTCATCCAGGCTGCAGTGCAGTGGCACGACCTCAGCACTCTACAACCTACATCTCCTGGGTTTAAGGGACCCTCCTACCTCCTGAGTAGCTGGGATTACAGGCATGCGCCACCACATTCAGCTAATTTTTGTATTTAGTAGAGATGGGCTTTTACCATGTTGGCCAGACTGGTCTCAAACTCCTGACCTCAAGTGATCCACCCACCTCAGCCTCCCAAAGTGCTGGGATTATAGGCATGAGCCACGGCTCCCAGCCACTTCTCTTTTCTTCTTTACCTTTCCTTCCTGTATCTCTGATCTCTCTGCATTTGTTATACTTGGGGATGCCCCTCTCTCTGTTACTTTAGTGCCAGTTCTACTATTCATTTACTCCATATTTTTGGATCAGTGAAACTTCCCAGAGCCTGAGTTATCTTGCCTTTATATAAAGAGAGGCTGACACCTGTCCCATTGGGTTGCTGTGGAAAACAGACAACACAGGACATGACATATTGATAAGTCCCCTCCAAGTGTTAGTGTTCCCTCACCCTCATCCATCCCACCCTTTCAACTTTCCTTTTTCTCCCCTTCCCCTGCCCATGCCATAGGTCAAGTTTTTCATGTAGCCGTGATTCACTGTACCTGTGGCCCATGGGTTCCAAGGGCTGGAGGCCACCAGTATAGAGTTTATACACTCAAAAGTATATTCTAGCATGCAAATTCTAGGTAATTCTTTCTGAAAGAATTACCTAATCCCTTCTGCTAGTTAAAGGCAGAATTTTTTTTTTAGTTGGGGAAAGCTGCATAACAAAGTTGAATCCTATACTTGCCTTCGTGCATAAGAGCAATCTGTCAGCAGAGGCCAGTCCTAAAAGAAAACTAACATCCGGTTAATGAGGGCATAAAACTCAAGCTTTCTTGAGTAGCTCTCCTCCAAGCAGATTCAGGGACCCAGTCTCACTGTGTGTTCTGGTTTTGTGAAAACCTAGGACCCTGAAGGTTTTGTTTGTTTTGTTTTGTTTTGTTTGCCTCCAGGTACAGAGGAAAAAAAGAGTGAAAATAGGAGTGATTGCATGGGGAATTTTTTAGAGGCCAGGCCTTGAAGTGGTTCACATTACCTCTTTCTGCCCACATTCCTCAGGCCAGAACATAATCATAGTATCCCACCAGACAGCAATGAAAGCAGAAAAACAGGATCTAACTCTGGCCCAAAAAAGAAAAGGAAATAGAATATACTGAACACATAGCAAACTCTACCACACAACCTTTTATTACAAATAGTTTCATTTAGTATTTTTTTCATTGTAATGTGTATTTGATGTATTAGGATTTTACCAACATTTAAGAAAATTGGAAAATTAGGAGAAAAAGAAAATGTACTCAAACTTTAAGTTTCCATAGAATAATCGTGACTGTCTTAATCTTCATCCTCTGTGCATGTTACCAAAATAATATGTCAACCAGGAGAGTAAATAATGCCACCACAACATTATTATCGAGGGGCACCATATGGCCCCCTTTCTCCTGGCACTAGAGAAATCTCTCACATGTCCAGTCTCTCTTTTTCAGCCTTCCGTGGCCCCTTTGTCTCTCCAGTCTTTTGGCTAACAAATCACTCTTGTCCTCGGCCTCTGGTATTTGTTCTGGTTGGGCCTGATGTTGGGGTTGGGAGGATGCAAATGACAAAAATACTGTGCTAAAAGAGTCTTGGTAACTATCTCTTCTTTGAGCTGCATTACCTAAGGCAGCCTATGTTACTTTGTGACTTAGAGAAATGAAAAAGAATGAGGCAGATAAGGGGGTAGAAGTAACTGCCTTTTCTCATTGAGATAATTTCTGCCTTGTAAAAGCAAGTTGAGAGCAAGGAAGAAAAACACAAATGAAAGAATCATGTCCCATAGCTTATAAACCATCTTATCTAACTTCAGGTCACTGGTTTAATGCCCTTACATTATTCCAGAGCCTTTTATAAGCTCTTTAAATGCATTGATTACTTTGAGACGACTTTAAATTGGAATATTAGTAGTATAGATTTGTCACTATGTGTTAACATTGAAGATGCACATACCCTTTGACCCAGAAATTATTAGAAAGTTGTCCTGCAGATATACCCACATATGTGTAAAAAAGTCATTCACTGCTTTCATCGAAGCATTTTGGTAGTAAGAAAATATTAGAAACAACCCCAATGCCTACCAGTGGAAAACTGCTTACATAAATTATGGTACTGCCATGCAATGGGTCATTATGCAGCTATCAGAAAAGAATGAAGGAATCTGTGTGCTGGAGTATTTCCAAGATAGGGTAAGAGGAAAAGTCACATGCAGAAGTAGGTGCAGTATGCCACCACGTTCGTGAAAAGTGGGGAAGGGATTGTATGATGATTTTTCTAAGTGTAGAATGTCCCAGGAAGGATGTAAAAGAAATCAGTTGCACTGGTCATCTCTGGGAAAAAGGATTGAGTGGCTGGGCACCATAGATCAAGGAAGGAGATGTTTTAGGCTTTCCTCATAAAACCTATTTGGAAAATTCAAGTTCATTCATTCATTCATTCATTAAATGTTATGGTCTTTAACCAGCAGTGTCAAAGGCTACTGAGAGCAGAGTTTCAGCTCCTCATTTGAACTGGAACATTCCAGGGAAGGAGCACCTCCTTGAAGGGAATTTGACTAAGGCTTTAACTGAGAGAAGAGAAATGTAACCTACATTTCCTCCATCTCCATCTGGAAAGTCCTTTCAGGTGTCATCTTAGGAAAATCTAGGTTTACCCTTTACAAGGAAGGTAGCATTTTATTTCATGGAAAATCAGACTCTGTTTTCTTATAGTTGTTTCAGCTTGGCTCAAGCTCAGCAAAGTAAATAGCAAAAATAGGTGAACCGTAAAATTAAACCTACATCATTGGGGTGTTAACTAAGGCCATTAAATTTGTCATTTGGGATCTAAATATTGGAGTAGGACTTTGATGATACTGTGAAATTATACCTAAAGTAGACTAATCCAGAATAATAATATAGTAAACAGCATGATTGAAAAATTTGAAAAACTACTTAAGCTTTCCAATTGGTATTTACATTTGCACGTTCCCATCCTTAATGACATAAAATGAAATAGCTCTACAGATGCTTAATGCACCAGGGCTCAGTGAATCTGGAGGAAAAGCAGATGGCTTATGTATATCTGAGAGCATTTTAATATTAAGCAAATAAACCACAATTAGATGGGCGTGGCAGAGGCATATCCTGTTGCATGCTTAATGGTGAGAAATGGATATTTCAGATGTCTGTCCTCTGTACTTTACAAGAGTTTATTCAAAATGGCTGCAGGGTAAGGGTTGGGGAATTAAGCAAGGCTAAGAAGCAAGACAGTAGGGGAATGAGAATCTTCACTGTGGTATAGATGAATGCTACAGTAGACGCTGCTCAGCTGGCTCCTGAGAGGGAATGGAGGACCTTTGTTCACACTGTTCTGTGTCTGTTGTGCCGAGCTGTGACTATGGTTGTTGCCAAACTAAAAACAAAGAAAAGCTAAACTGACGTATATCAGAAATGTCATAGAGATTTCTGGTAGAAGGAAGATGGAGGATATGGGAAACACAAGGGGGAAGACGGAAAGGTAGGTTGGGAGTTTACAGACGTAGGAAGAAAAAAAGGCTAGAGCGACATAAGAAACTTCAAGAGGGAACAATCAATTTAGAATTTATATGCATATCAAAACATCAAGTTGTTCACCGTAGATACATAAAATTTCTATTCAATTATACTTCCATAAAGCCAAAAATATTTAAAATATTAGAATAATTATAATAGTATTCAAAAGAGTGGTACCCAAATCAGCAGCATCAGCATCACCCGGGAGCTTGTTAGAAACGCAAATTCTCAAGCCTCACCTCAGACTGAATCAGAAACTCTTGGGTGGGCC